TAGAATGTAGAACATTTTCTTTATAAACTGTGTTATGCCAGTTGAGCTAGATGTTCCCCAAGACCATGGTCCCCACAGCCCTCCGCCCAGCAATTCAGTCCCTCTCAAAACCGATTTTCCAGTGTTCATAGATTGTCTGTTATCAATAAGCCCAAAACAGTCAAATCACTTTTCTAGGCAAATCCTATTAATTGTAGACTTAGTGCACAAAATAAATTGAAATATACAACACTGATTAGTTTGGATATGATCTGGAGAAACTCTAAAATACAGCTATTCCCTTGACAGACAGAAAATATTTTACCACAGATTTTAAGTCCTCACTCATAGCTAGTTGTCATTGCTCTAGAAATGATTTGAAGTATAATCTGCTCAATTTTGAGGTTTCCCCACGCATATGTGCTCTTCCCAACATAACAGTTCTTAAACCCTGAAAATGTACTATTTCTTCACATGCTTACCTTTAACATATATTTGACTATAAAATGGCATAAAGAGTTTGTGCTTGTAAGTCGGTAGAGAAAGTGTTACATCTCCATGGTTGGCCACTCAGCCACGTAACTCTCAGCTTTTTGGCTAATCAGAATTTTAGACAGTATTGATGCCCACTTAAATGGAATGGTTCTCTACATAAACCACTAGAGCTGAGTCGCTTGGGTGGTTGATCTGCATGATACCTTACTAAAACTTACATAAGAAAGGGTTAAAATTTATTAGCTTATTGTTTTTTGGGGGGGAAGATAGAAAACCATCTACTTGATGGGTAGCATTAGAAACCCAGATTTATCTTTTGACTTCAGTCAACTCCCCAAAATAGAGGCACAGTTTCAAGTGCACCTTTACAGTGCATTGATGTTTGCTTAAGAAAATGAGAATAGTGCCTCTCCATGCTGATATTGTGAAAATGTCTTGACAATATTTGCAAACCCCTCTTTGAGAGAGAGCCTCTTTTTTCCAAAAAATAAACAGAAATAGTAGATAGCATGTAGCATTGGGTGAGCATTGCCACAATTTGTAATATAGAGCACCAGAATTCCTATCTGAATGCAGCAAACATTAATTCTGTCATCTTTAGAAGTCTAAGCTTCTGATGTTAGCAGTGGCAATCAGAGAGAAAGGATATGGAGAAAAAAATTACTTTGTAGTTTTTTCTTAAGTCTGCAGGTTTAACTCAAATCTAAGAGAAAGGACTTTTATGAAAAAAAGAAAATATGTAAATAAATAAAGGAAATATCAATACAAGATTAAAAAAATTGGTAACCATCAAAACATTAGTGTATCAAGGCAAGTTTGATAAAAGACGTGGCATTCACCCACTCACCATTATATTCCCTGAAACAGTAACTAGAATAATGAGTATTCAATAAATACTTGAATGACTGAATTAATGAATACCAATCTTTTGTCTGGAGCCCTGGTGGTGCAATGGGTAAGAGCTCAGCTGCTAACCAAAAGGTTGGCAGTTCAAATCTACCAGCCAGTCCTTGGAAACCCTATGGAGCAGCTCTACTCTGTCCTATGGGGTCGCAGAATTGGAATTGACTCAACAGCAGCGGGTTTTGGGTCAATCATTTGTCTATATTTAAAACAATTGCAAATACTCGAAAGTACATGTAGTAAGCACAGACATAAACAAGAGTTACAGACATTTTTTTAGAATCCCCAACTCTTAGTTATCTAGTGCTGCTGTAACAGAAATATCACGAATAGGTGGCTCTAACAAACAGAAATCTATTTTTTTCACAGTTTAGGAGGCTATAAATCTGAATTCAGGGCGCCAGCTCTAGGGCAAGGCTTTCTTTCTCTGTTGGCTCTGGGGAAAGGTCCTTGCCTCTTTTTAGCTTCTTTTCCTTGGCTCCTTGGTGATCTTCATGTGGCATGGTATCTGTCTTGCCCCATCTCTGCTTGCTTGCTTAATCTGCTCTTTTATATCTCAAAAGAGATTGATTTAAGATACACCCTACACTAATACTGCCTCATTAACATAACAAGGAAAACCCATTCCCAAATGCTATTATAACCACAGATTTAAGGGTCAGGATTTACAACACAATTGAATAGTCGGGGGACACAGTTCAATCCATAACAGCGACCAAAAAGCATCATGAACTGAAAGAATAATTCAAAATCATAATCTAGTAATTCTTAACCTCCTAACTCAAGTACCAAGCAAAAGACATTTCTTAGGAGTGTCATTCCTCACTATATGTTGACACTCCAAATTATGGTCCTTGAGGCAGTAGAGAACAGTCATGAAGATATATTCCCTAATGTTTGACCAAATACAGGACCAGTGTAATTTTTTGTCAGGAAGGGACAGCCAAGAAAAGAGACTGAATCCAGGATCAGCCCCCCACCCAAACTCCAGCCATAACTCAATATATACACACACACATATATATATACACATATACATACACACGTATATACATGTACACACACACACATATAATCCATTGCCATCGAGGCGATTCCAACTCGTAGCAACTCTACAGGACAGAGTAGAATGCCCCATAGAGTTTCCAAGGCTGTAATCTTTATGGAAGCAGACTGCCACATCTTTCCCCCATGGAGTGGCTGGTGGGTTTAAACCAACTACCTTTCGGTTAGCAACTGAGCACTTACTGCATCACCAGGGCTCCCTGTATATATGTATGTATATATATACACACAC